GGCGATACAGCTCCCTCTCGACTCGACATTCTGGCGAAACAGCCTTCGCGATGGCAGCTTGCATCCCCACATGTGGGACTTGGACACCAAGTGGATTGAGCGTGACCTTCAAGAGAAAAATGAGCTGCATATGGACCCAACTGCATCCTGGGATTGGAAGGGTGCTGCTAAGCTTCTCGCCATGAAGCGGTTCCCGATTGCCGGATGCGATGATCGTCTAGCCGACTTGCCTCATGGGTTCTGGAATCGGTGTAGGATATGGGCTACCATCGAAGAAGCCCTTTATCAGGAGGACTGTTTCTCGCATAGGAGACTCAGAAGCGACAGCGGCACAGGCGTGCATGAGCATGAGAATGAAGATTCCTGAGATCGCATTGCACTTGGGGTTCCTGAGGTATTGACATCTTCAGAGATGCTTGAGCAAACAAAGCTTTCTAGGAACATGGAATTGTGCTACATGCGCTGCCTAAAACACCGCGGGCCAGGTAACCTACCACCTCCAAACACCAACTACAGCGATATCTCAAGTTTCGGCCATCGTATCGACAAAACCAGCCCAGCTACTTCCAAAGCTTTCGTAAAAGCCCGTGGATGCGCTCGTTATGAACAGGTACCCCGCCTTTTCACGCAACGATAAGGTCAGGCTCTTGACTTCTCCTTCTGGCACTGAATGTACCATGTAAGCAGCCCGCGAACGACCATAAGGCGACGTGGCAAGCCATTCCTGGTATTCTTTCGTCATGAAATGCTTGAACGACGTTTCGACGACGACTGTAATGTCCGGCCCCGGATTGCTGAGCGCAGTATTCACTGCCGTGCCAGGATTGTGAATGACCTGTTCCGCAGTTAGCATGCACGTGTCCTGGCGACAACACCCAAAACGACGATATCAACATACGATCGGGCTTTTGATATGATTCAAGCTATGCGCGACCTTGCGATCGACGGAATCGAGCCAATTCTTCGCTTCGTGCGAATACAGATTCACAGTCTCATCCACAAACACACCGTCAACACCCTGGCACACATCATTTCGGCCCCGCGCTCCATATATCTCGATGTCATCGAGAGCAGCTTTCAGGGAACGCTTGCAATATGTCGCGCAAATATAACCCAAAGTTTTTACGTTGGGCAGCGCATTTAGCCGCGGTATCTCCCGGATGTAGTCTGCATTCGGCCACCATGGGGCGGCACCCGGTCCGCTGTTCGGATTGAGGATGACAAGGAATTGGACATCCGGGTGTTTAGCGATGCTGCAGATGTCAATAAGCGAAGGTGGCAAGGGAATGGGGAAATTCGTTACGCTGTGTACAGAGGCTCCCATGCGCCTAGATTCGGATAGATATACAACGGAAGAAGGATCGAAGACTTGGAATTTTGCGACATGGCTGATAAATGTGTGGGTTGGAGTGATGGATGAATGTACCTCGTGTCCTTTCCAGCCCAAAGGCGTGCTGACTCATCACAATCGCATCATAAGCACTACTTCAAAACGAGAGCGGTGTGACCTCACTATCCGCCATTCCCTACCAAGTGACATCTAACCACGTCTCCAGCAATCCTCCAAACCCACTATACGCATCTTCTGTCAAGTCTGTCACATACGGCCATTCAACATCCCTCCTTACGTCATCAACGATCTTGCGCAAGCCAGTCCTTCCAAGTACATTGGGCACAGAATGCAAAGGCATAGCGGAGTTCTCTTGCCCATCCTTCAATGCCCCCAGCATCTCGTGCAACGCCCCTTGACTCGGCATGTCTGTATACGCGCCCTCAAACACCACAGTCACATTAGGCTTGTATACCATCAATCCCTCATCAGGCACATGCCCAGGGTTCTGCGCTACGAAAGCCTGAGCACCAAATCCGTCTGATAGTCGCACCGTTGCGCTAATGTTTTGGAGATACGCTTATGCGTGGCCTTGGTTCTTGTATGGCGTGCGATCAAAGTATATGCCAGAAAGCGTCAAGCTCTTACTAATATTGTGCCAACCGACATACACCGCGATCTCTTGACGTATAGTCGCGTTATCTCTTTTCCCGCCATCGGTGTCGATGTAGCCTAGTATACGTATGTTTTCATATTTGCTCAACGACTCGATGGCGTCGATGTACTCTGCGGTCGGCCATACGGTGCTTCCTGGCCCATTTTCTGGGTTGATGACGACGGTGAAGGTGGTTTCGGGGTATCTGATGGCCCTGCGGGAACAATGTTAGCTGTGTCCTGTTGATAGTCACAATGACTTGTAACAGGGGGTACAAACGCATCGTGCAGTCTATCCCAGGACCCCAACTCTGGCTTGAAGTACATTGGGATCAGTACGTTGACTGGCAGCGGCGTTATCATCTTCCGTGGTAGTGTGGCAGCAAGTGGTATGCCAATCGCAAGAAACAACGCAAGCGTTAGAGTTACGCTCATCGCTAATATGCGATCGTCAAAGCACGGCGCGCATCTTTTCTTCCTCGTAGTAGGTTCATATGGAGTGGCTTGGTGATAGCTGAATATCGTTGACCTGGACTTGCTGTTGCTGGCATACATTCCCAATGGTCGTTCAGCAACAAGGATAGCTTTTTCGGGAGCCGTGGTACCACAGATGCATCAAAA